GATTACCTTAATTACTTGACATGTGTTAACCCTGGTATGTTGAATATTTGTTTTCCTTTGCTTCATTCAAACACCAAGGTCCTAGACTATGGACCTACGTTGTATGTTTAAGATAATATTTTGTTCTCTGGCTAATGATGCTGTTTTAAATGTGTATTCTATATTTGACCTCCTTTTGTAATGTTTTATTTTGAAATCTTTTAAGTAATTTAAGCTTCCTGTTATTTATATATTTATATATGATTATATTTCATTTTTTGTAAGGTTTTATTCTGGAATGTTTTATTTGCTCTTTTAAAGTAGGTTACAAACCACTTGGATATCTTTTTCTTAAAAATATAAAGCAGTATAGAAATGAAATGAATAGTACTAATAGTAACAATAGTAGTGCTCTGGACCACTGATGTCCAAGAATTGAAATCTTCCATGGAAGTTTTGCATGAGTAAAGCAATCTTCTTTCCTCTATAGTGTACCAAAATAAAAAAAGACCCTTAAATCCCTTGTATGCTGCATGGAGTATTCCATGCTAATGAAAAAGGCCATCATTACATATTTCTTAATTTTTTAGGTTTGAAATTATTATAATGGATTTGTGCAGTGACTAATGCTGTAATCTTATTTATGCTTCCCGATGAAATATACTGGAGACTTACTTCTAACTATGCATGCATAGGATTGTGTTGTAAATGAAGAAAAATAATACTCAGTGCCCCTAACTTCATCTGCAAATATATATTCCCTATTACTAGCTGATTTTCTGATATGCCCAGAAACTAGTGCCTGTCTTGTCCATGCTCTCTCTCTCTCTCTCTCTCTCTCTCTCTCTCTCTAACAAGACTAACAGAATAACCACTACCCTGGCTAACAATCCTAAATGGTGGTTTGAATCCCTTTAAAACACACACACACCACATTTTAATCATTTAACCACCACAACTGCCAATACTCAACGGTACAAAACTACGTTACCAAATAAGCTTTTCTGAGAACTCATCCCATATCCGAACCATTCCCACTACCATCAGGGAAACCATCAGAAAAGTTTGGTGGGTGCTGCAATCTTCTTCCAACCTTGTTCCCTCCCATCAGAGTAAATGGGTGGGAAATAACTCTCTCCATGTCCTGTCCTGGCATGATTTCTGTTGTGTTCACAGGCAAGTTCATGGGATGGAGAGACTAAGATCTGGTGTAGTTGGTATCCTCCATTCATGCTGCCCACTTTCAGCCTAGGATTCAGGGAAATAATTTTCCCAATGGAGGGGCTCCATTGACTTTTTGTACAACATACAGGGGCATTTTGGCAGGCTTTCAACAGGAACTGGCAGCCTCCATTTCATTTCAACTCCCCTTGACCCATGAACCAGTGAGGATAGGATTGCACCCTTTAGGATGAACTAATTTGCATTAAGTGGTGCCATGTGTCATTCTACTCCTAGGCCAAAAGGGTGACAGTTCATCACTACTGCCACCACCACAGCTAAACCTAAAATTAAAGTTTAGGTTTATTTGTTTTATTGATCTTCAGAATCGTGGAGGACAACTGAAAGACCCATCTAGAAATCTGCGCAAGCCAATGTAAAACAATAGCACAGCAAAACAAAGAAAAGGATTCTCAATTGTCTCACTACTTAAGGCAAACCTCGAGTCATCTTGATAAGCAAACACCCAAAGCGGGTGATGAGGATGGAACAAACTCTGATTTCAACCGACATCTCCTCTTGAAATTTAAGGAAGGGATATAGAAGTTGGAGGTAAACTGGGGCTGTGACACTGAAACAAACAAGATAAAAAAAATTCTTCCAGTAGCACCTTAGAGACCAACTAAGTTGTTGTTGGTATGAGCTTTCGTGTGCATGCACACTTCTTCAGATACACTTGCATGCACACGAAAGCTCATACCAAGAACAAACTTAGTTGGTCTCTAAGGTGCTACTGGAAGGATTTTTTTTTTTTCCACTATGGCAGACCAACACGGCTACCTACCTGTAACTGAGACAAACAAGGTCAAGGAAAGAAGCAATTTTCACAAGATAGATACAGGAAAGTGATTGCAAGAGAAGAGGGGGTTCAGAGGGGGGACAAAGACAGGCAACTAACCAGTGCTTACGAAAAGTGAAGTTGGTGTTTGAGAAAGAATCAGGAAGGAAGGTCATTGGGGACTTATGAGAAAGAGCGACAGTGCAAAGGAACATGATAATGGTAACTGTGGGAGCCAAGGAGAAGATAGCAGAAATGGTGAAACAAAAGGAATTGCACAATAAATTTTGCGCATTAAACAAAATGCAGGCTGCAGTCCTATACACCAGGGATGGGGAACTGTGGTCTACCTAAGGTTCTTGGACAGCAGCTTCCATCATCCTTTACCATTGGTCATGGTGGCTGGGACTTTGAGTACAACAACATTTGGAAGGTCAAAAGTGACTGCTTCCTACTAGACACAGTTATAAGTAAGTCTGAGTAAGCTCCATTGAATAGGACTTTAAAATGTTAAAAAAAAGAAAAGGTAAAGGACCCATGGACGGTTAAGTCCAGTCAAAGGCGACTATGGGGTTATGGTACTCATCTTGCGTCAGGCTGAGGAAGCCGGTGTTTGTCCACAAACAGCTTTCCAGGTCATGTGGCCCGCAGAACTAAACCACTTCTGGCACAACGAGACACCATGACGGAAACCAGAGCGCACGGATACGCCGTTTACCTTCCTGTCGCAGCGGTACCTATTTATCTACTTGCACTGGTGTGCTTTCAAACTGCTAGGTTGGCAAGAGCTGGGAGCAATGGGAGCTCACTCCGTTGCGGGGATTCGAACCGCCAACCTTCTGATCGGCAAGCCGAAGAGACTCAGTGGTTTAGACCACATCTCCACCTGCTCCTCCTGAATAGGACTTACCTTGGAGCAGACATGCAGAGGATTGCAGTGTCAGTGCGTTTGCAGGAGATGCTGCTGCCCACTTCCTCTCTCCAGTGACTTGTAGCCATCTTTGTAGATGTTGATGACTTGTAGCCATCTTTGCACCCACCACCATCTCACACAATTGGGCAGCATCACGGCTCCCATGGAACCATTGTTGAAGGCCGCATGTCTCTAAATGCCAATTGCTAGGAATCACAAGACTGCTGCTGCACTCTGATCCTGCTTGTGGGCTTCCCACAGACATCTGGTTGGCCATTCTAGGATCAGGATGCTAGACTAGATGGGCAAGTGGGCCTGATCCAGCAAGACTCTTCTTATATTCTTAAAGGGATTATAAGGTCCATATGACACATAGGAAAGGCATATGCTATGGGGAATTGGAAACATTAAAATCATCATCCTGACTTGCAAGCTCTAAGCTCTTAAGAGGCATATGTTGGCATTGATTCATGCCGGAGTTTGGTTGGAGAAACAGGTAGGGAACATGGGAGGGGTCACTAGAAATGGCTTGATAATGCCGTGACAATAATGTTGTCGAAGCCAAGTGAATCCCAGGAGTCTAAGGCTTATCTGGTAAGAAGAGCAGCATGGATAATGCCATTTTGGACTTGGATTGAAAGACTGTCAGTATATATGGTTCCTAATGGCTTTGTGAATATTTTTTTCCTGTTTCAAACAGCAGGGTATCAGTTTCTAAATAAAGTTTTAAAAACCTACCTTCCTCTACATTGGAGAGGAATGCCAGCTTTTTCATACATTTCCTGCCTGGAAAAAACCTCTGTGATTCAAAATATGTGCCATATTGGGGTAGCAATGGTGGAGAATCTGTAGATGTGGACAGATGCATGTTTGTTCTACCACATTCTCTTCCTTCTTCCCACTGCATGCAATGTGCCTGGATGTATAACCTCCATTCTCACTTTGTGGAGATCGCCTTTCACCCTGTATAGAACTGGAAACCCCCTTCCCTGACAAATCTTGCGGTTTCGAAATGCTGTGCTTGTGATTTTGTGCATTTTGTACATTGCCTCTAGGCTTTGGCATAGGCGAGGCATGAAACCCTAATAAATCATCTTCTCATCAGGAGCTGTGAAGTTGCCCCAAAAGACCTGCATGTGGGGTCACAATAACTGTTCTTAGGTTGACAGGGCAGACTCCTCCTCCCAACTTTAGATAGGGAAGTGATCCCCAACTGCACACACACACACACACACACACACACACGTACGTTCCTTACGGCCACCTCTTTGAAATCTGTTTACAAGCAAGCAGCCCATCAGCTAAAACCTCTCTCCCACCTACCCCCCAAGATCTTTATCGATTCTTTTGGCAGTGCTCAAAGCTTCAGAGCTTCAGAAAGACAGTGACCGGAGGCACCGCATCAGGAAAGCAACAGGAACAATATGTTGATCGAAATGCCCATCCGTTTGCGGGCAACCTTCATGTTACAGAAAGAGCTTTGCTTATCTGTAGGGAAGCCGGCGGTGGGTTGTCAATTCATTCAGAGAGGCGAAAGAGACCGACAGTGAGACAGATTGCCGGAGCCTTCGTACCATGGACAGCTCCTGGTAAAGAGACGCTGGAGAATTTCCCCTTCCTCTTGCGTGTGTGTAATAATAATAATAATAATAATAATAATAATAATAATAATAATAAAATCCTGCAGTCCACCCCCTATATTAGCAAACACCTCCAGCTCCTCCTCTCCCTTGGGAACAACCATCTCGATCGGAGCCCGGGAGATCTGACGTCAGGGATCGCTTTCGTCGTTTTGACGTGTCAAGCCCTCATTTCCATTCTGGCTGTGGCGGGTTGGAGTCCTGCTCAAGCATGAGCCGGGCAGAAACGGGCGACCTGTGATCGCAGCCAGGCACTTTCTTGAGAACAGCCAGCTCCTTCTCCACCCCCCCGCCCCGCACCAGCCTTTCTCCTGATCGCATAGCAACCAGAGTGGGGCAGGAGTTTTCCACTCTTCCTCCTTTTTTTGAAGCACGAATCCTGACTTCTCCAGTGCCTGACTCGATTCCTTGATCGATTCTCCTCGTTCTCTCCAAAGCGCCCGGTCCTCCTTCTTCCTCGCCGGCTGCCATGGAGAGGCGAGGCTGGGCAGGGCGCAGCGCGGCCGTGGCTTTGCTGGCTGCCTGGAGCGCAGCCGTCCTGCTGGCCCGGGCGGAGAGGCAGTTCGTCAACGAGTGGGCAGCCGAGATCCCGGGAGGTCCGGCGGCAGCCCAGGCCATCGCCGACGAGCTGCAGTATGAATTTCTGGGGCAGGTAAGGCTCCCCGCTTCCCTCCCCACTCCACCCCTCTCCCACCCCATTGCGCAAAGCAGGCAAGTTTGTTTCTCCCGCTTTCCCGAATAGGAACCCGGCGGCGCGCGTAATTGACAAGCGATGCCATTGACTAGCAGCTGGAGATAGTGGCTGTGCGCTAATGGCTCTGTTGCTGAGACAGAGCTACACACGTCACGTGCTCCTTTCTAGACACTGACTCCCTTAAGCAAGGATTTCTCATGCTATTATTATTATTATTATTATTAGGGAGTGGTAGGTGGGTTTCCTAGCTCAGGATGGCGAGTTCTCCCTCCATATGGCAAACACAGTCTCCGGGGAAAGTCCTCAGAGTTCCCAAGCTTTCTTTCCTGCCACAGGATTCTTTGCTTTTCTATGCACACCACTGAATAATAATAATAATAATAATAATAATAAATTTAAACAGAGTTGAGGAAATGACTTTAGGGATAGCACACTCCTTTGCCTTCTGCGAGAGGTGGCTTTCTCGGGGACAATACCAAACGGAGTGGAATCGGCAGCAGGCGCTGGGAATTGCAACTCAGGGGAAACGAGGAATGCTTCCTCCTCGGAAGCCCCCGCAAGGAGACCTTCCTTGCTTTGCATTAACCCCTACAGCTCCCCAAGGCGAAGGTGGAATGCCTTTAGCTGGGGTTCCGACCTCAGGATCCGTTTCAATTGCCAGGATTGAAACGAGAGAGAATTCAACAATCGAGAGAATTCATAATTCCCCAGGGATGGGTGAAGCAGTATGCAGAAGGAAAATGCGTGTGCAGAGTACTTCCCCCATCCTTCTGAGTAACCACAGACATCTGGGTTTATGCAGGAGGAAGCCGTCATTCCGTGGAGCGAGCTTTCAGACAAAGAATGAGCTCTGTCTTTCTTTCTTCCCTCCCTCCTCCTTTGATAAAGTTCTACCAGCCCAGAGCATTGAAACCACTTGCCGTTTCTTTCCGCAAACCCTCTGCTCTTAGGGACATATTTGTGCCTCCGTGGTTTGGTGAAGGTGCCATGTGGATTGAACAAGAGCAATCCTACACTGTATCCTAAAAGTTAACAGCGCCAGGTGTTTTCCACAATCTCCTCTCCCTTCCCTTCCCTCCAGCCCACCTCCTCCCCCCGTCTGTCATGCCATGACGTCACTGTTGTCAGGGATGAGTAACTTCATTTACGTAATAGCAACCTTGCCCCGTTATCTAATTGTAGAGTTTCCTACCTGTATCCTGTACCCCAGCAGTTGACTCCAGTAGTGCAGAAACCAAACCCCTCTGATCTGGTTTCTAAAGAAACAGCCTAATATGTCTGTGTGTTAGTCCAGTGATGCAGAGCATGGAGAGGGTGGAGATCAAAGTCTAACATCTGCTTTCTCTTTTATGATCCTCACTTACCTCTTATGCTTGAAACAAGCTCCGTTGTCACTGCTGGAAGCAAATTTAACTCCCCGCGCCCCCATAAAAGTAGTGCTGACGAACTGCTGTGCTGGCAAATAGAAGTGCATAGGATCTGATTCACTGCTGTATCCTGTGTCCTTGTGTCAGCGACACAAGCCTACCCCAGCCTGTTTGTTACACAGCAGTGGGTGTTGACAATATTGCATTGGCAACGACTCAGACCACCCAATGAAGCAGAACAGAGGCACCCAGGAATACAGCGTAATGTCGAGATGAGCAATGAGGGGCAATGTAGCCCAGGCAGTGCTGTAGCTGGGGGGGCTAGCCAGTTTTTTTTGCCCCTGGTGAAACCTCCAGAGGAGCGTCATTGAGGCTCCCAGCCTGCCTTTGTGTGTGTCTGTGTGTGTGTGTAATACACAAATGTGTGGGGGGGGTGCCAAACTGGGTCTTTGATCTGGGTGAAATAAAGCCTAGTTTTGCCCCTGAGTCCAGGTCCAGAGACCATGCAATGAGCTTTTGCACCCCAACTGAGTCAGCTACTTTGGCACAATCTAGGGCAGTGAACTGTTGCAAAGAGATTGCAACTGATAGGGAGCGTGGCAGAGTTAAATGCCCCCCTTGTTTTGCAGAGGGTTCTCTCTACCTGAGAATAAGCCACTGTGAATTTTTGTAGATATGCACATCTCATGGCCAGGTTTCCTATTTACAAGATCAACTGATTCATAGGCACTTCGATACTCCCCTCCTGTCAGAACTTAATTTGAGTCAGCAAGTGTCTCTGATTGCATGGCCATAGCTCATTCCTGGAGCTTGTCAAGTAATAATAAAGAAAAGTCTGCCTTTCTTTTGCCACGTATATATCTTGATTTGGAAGGCAGGCTTTCTAGCTCGGAGGGTGTTGCTCCAAGCCTGTCAAGAACTGCTTTGGCACCTCTTGTTTTAGAAATTTTGATTTGTTTATTTTAAATATTTCCGCCTTGCTAAATTTCCCAAAGATCTAAACATGGCTAATACATGGGAGTTGCTGTTTGTAATGCATTTGGACTTCAAGTAGTGGTGGACATTTGCAAGCACTCTAATGAAGATGTGTAGTACTTAGATTGCTGCTGCATTAAATGGGAGGCAGTAATGTTGCTCTGAGATGAAGCTAACAGGGGTGACATGTTATATGGCCCAGGTCCTAGTGCTGTAAATATGGTAGGGGCTGCCATCAGCAGTAAACCACTTCCACATGGTAGGAGGTCCACGACACAGCCCCAACACCTATAGCTGGCTCTGGCAAATGTTTGCCAGATCCACTGGGGGCAGTGGCCCTAGCATGGCTATTTACTAACTGCTGGCAGGCTTATATGCGGAAGCTGAGTAGAACATTACAGTGGCTACCTGGAGCCCCAGAAGTGATTTCAGTGGCAACCAACCTGTGTTCATACTGCCTGAATCAGGCAACAGTTGTAGCTCTAGGAGCTCACATTTCCTGTTCCAATTAAAAACCCGGTAAGAATTGTTGCTGAGCAGAACTGAAACTAGGCTCATTTAGTGCTTGACAGAAGGCAGAATCACTCAAGCTCTTATCTCTGTTTTAACACTTCCTGTATTATGCCACTAGCTGGGTAGTTTCTAGGCATGCATTGATCACCTCTCCTCCATCTAGATTTCCATATGATTCCTAACATTTGCTCATAATTGCAATTAAATGGCTGGAGTCTAAGACCTGCTACTGTTGCAGCCAGTGTGCCAGGAATTTTAAAACAGAACCACGCATGCCAGGCCATTACAACCCAACAAATAGGAGTTATGTTTCTGGTGCCACCTTAGCAAAGGGAATTAGATCTCCATCCATGCTGAAAATAAAACGCACTCCCTGTCCTGACTCCTGAACGACCATATTTGAATAAGCTCCAAGATTTAGTCCTGCTTTTCTGGCCAAGTAAATGTCCTCTCAGAATTCTGCATACCATGTAACATGAGTTCCAACTGCCAGAACACAAAGTAGGAAAAATGAGGATTCTAAGCAAGCCAGAATTTGTAAAGCTGCTGCACAAGATCACTGTGGCATTGCAGAAGCAGGCTATTTCAGCATAGCAATGCAAACAAAACTACCGTAGACATTTCTACCAATTATCATTTCGGCGATGATCACTTGGTAATGAGAAGTGGAGGGCACTGAACATGTTGCATTCAGGCCGACAGCCATTCCATATATCATTTGCTCTAATATCCCCGAGATGAGCAAGACGACAATATACTGGGGGAAATCAGTGTTATGGAGAAAGAATGGGAAATGATGAAATGAGCTGTGGGGAATCCAAGAAGTGCTGTCTAATGAAATCCAGAGCAAGGCCATTGGATAAGAGAAAAGCAAGGAAGACAGAGTGGAATACATCATGAGGTGGCTGTGCTCTGCCTCCACAGTTGAAGTCAGCAATGTATCTGAGTACCAGCTGCTGCGAAAGGGACTCGGGTGGTGCTGTGGTCTAAACCACTGAGCCTAGGGCTTGCCGATTGGAAGGTCGGCAGTTCGAATCCCCGCGGTGGGGTGAGCTCCCGTTGCTCGGTCCCTGCTCCTGCCAACCTAGCAGTTCAAAAGCACGTCAAAGTGCAAGTAGATAAATAGGTACCACTCCGGCAGGAAGGTAAACGGCGTTTCTGTGCGCCGCTCTGGTTCGCCAGAAGCAGCTTAGTCATGCTGGCCACATGACCCGGAAGCAGTACGCCGGCTCCCTTGGCCAGTAAAGCAAGATGAGCGCCACAACCCCAGAGTCGGTCACGACTGGCCCTAATGGTCAGGGGTCCCTTTACCTTTACCAGCTGCTGCAAACCACAGAAGGGGAGGGTGCTCTTTTACTCATGTCCTGCTTCTGGGTTTCCCACAGGCATCTAGGAGCCATGGTGGGAACAGGATGCTGGGCTAGAGGGGCCTGATCCTGTTTCATGTGAGAGATATATATATTCTTTACATTTCAAAATATTCATTTAGACAGCCTTAAATCAATGACTTCCCTTCTTCTCTTTCCGTGGTTCATTTTGCATACCACACACCCCTGCATATTTTGCATGAACTAAACCATTCAGTAATCCATTGCTACATCCATCAAAACTTATTTACACTGCTGAATTTATCTTAATGCTACCAGCGTTTTTAAATGAACACAATTTTCACCCACATATTCAGTAAACATTTTCCAGTCTTCTTTAAACGTATGTTCTTCTTGTTCTCTTATTCTATATGTTAAATCTGCCAGCTGTGCATATTCCATCAGCTAAGTTGCCATTCTTCTTTAGTTAGGACCTCGCTTGTTTTCCATTTTGGGACTAGCAAAACACGGGCTGCAGTAGTAGCATACATAAATAAGCTTTTTTGACACCTGGGACCCCTTTGTGTTTGAATCTTTCAGTTCCATATCTATCATCTATCCATCTGTCTATCTGGAACTGAAAGAATTCAAACAGGGTCTGATAAGGAGAAGCCTGGGCAAATGAAGGTAGGCAAATGCATATACATGTCCTCAGCCTTTGTTTGGGTTGAGGATAAGGATGGAGAAGTCCTATGCTCTAAACAAAAAGCACCTAACAGTTAATCGTCTGTACACATAGATGGGTAATAGAGTTGGAACCTATTTGTTCCTTTTAATTCTAAGAAAAATCCTGTCCCCTGTGCATATTTTCAACACATTGCTCTATTCAAGACACATTACTATTAGTTTTAAAACAGTGTATGTTGACAATTATTCACGTGTTTAATTGCTTGGAAAATATTGGTGGAGACACAGTTCTGCTCCCACAGTCTTTGCACTTCTGCTTTTGAATAAATATTTTATCCAGCAAAATTTAATGTTCTTATATTCGAAGCATTTCTGGGAAATTCCAATTATCCGTTGCTATTGACTGTTTGCTCCCTGTGGGAAAATATCTCAGAAATCATCCTGTGTATTGCAGATTGGATCACTTGAAAATCATTATCTATTTAGACATAAGAGCCATCCTAGAAGGTTGCGAAGGAGTGCTACTCACATCACAAAAAGACTCTTGGATGATCAACGCGTAAGTATTGCATTTGCAGTTTCCCGGACACTGCAATACTGAATACATTTACAAGGGAATAAGCCCCCATGAACCCAGATGGGCTTACTTCTGAGCAAACATACATAGGATTGCCGTCTCCTCCGGCCTTTAATTTATTTAGTAAATTCATATCTCCCCTTTCCTCAAGGAGATTAAGGGATTGCCCATGGTTCTCTTCAACCATTTTTATCCCTACAACAATCTTGTGAGGTAGGTTAGGCTGAGAAACACTGCCTGGCTCAAAGTTACATGGGGAGGTCCACAGCTGTCAGAGTTTGCTCTGCTGGTGTCAAGTGGCCCACCCACCCTCAGTTTAAGGTACAGAAGCTGACTGGACCGACAGTTGAATCTTAGGCCCCAAGTTTACCATGATACCACTTTAAACAGTCATGGTTTCTCCCAAAGAACCCCCGGAACTGTAGTTTGTTATGTGTCCTGAGAGTTGTTAGGAGACCTCTATTCCACTTATATAGCTTCAGTTCCCAGAGTTACCTGGGAAGAGTGATTGCTTGTTGAATACTCCAGAAACTGCAGCTCTGTGGTGGAAATATAAGTCTAACAAATCGCAGAACTCTTAAAAAAAACCACAGTTCCTAGGATTCTATGGAGGAAGCCATGAGTGTTTAAAGTGACATGAAACTCCTTTAAATGTTGCAGATAGGGCCTTATTTCAGCTCTGGCAATGGGATGTTATCCTCCACAGCACTTGAGGGCAGCAGGCTTGCTTAGCAGATGCCCAACAGGCTGTGTGGCACATACACCTCTGATTTCCGACAGGTGGAAGTGACCAGGTGGCTCAGGGGAGCTGCTTCCTCCTGGTATCTGCTGCCTAATGGTAGGGCCAGCCCTGAATGTAGGAGAGTGAAACAGACTGCTGAAATTTATGGCAAGTAGATAATGTTTGCATAGTAGGGCTTGCCTCATGGTGTCAATGTCAAGATTTGCCCCACAAAAGGGTGAAAAATATAATCATCAGAAATTTTGGGATTCATTGAGGAACTAGCTCAAGGGGAGTCTCTGGAAATTGGCAGAGCTCAACAACTTGCCAAAAAACAACAACTTTTGTGTCTGGGTTGTCATTTTTTAAATATGGCAACCTTACTTAAAATGCAACAGAATCCTTGCTTTTTAAAGGTGAAGGAAGAGGGAAGTTGTGATGACAGTGCAAATTCTAAGAAGCAAAGTGTTAGCAAATGAGAAGGTCCAGATCTTGATGTAGAATCTTGGCCAGCAGTTTGACAACTGGCTACTGGAATTATGTACTTAGGAAACAAGACAAAAAGCAGATGTGTGTCAGATAGCAAAGGGCAACATAGACCAGCTGATTGTTGATATCTTAGTTCTTGGTATAGCCACTGGGAAATCAATTGGGTGTATGTTATTTTGTTTATACCACAGCAGCTTCTCTGTCGTGTCTCTCCACACCGGGGGTGTAACCTGTAACAGCCTACAAAGTGGAGAGTGTTCACACCACACCAGATGTCTTGGTGACATCGTCATCAGACATTATGGCAATCGCTCACATCCTCTGGGCTTTCTCAGCAACTCTTTCCCCATTCCCAGTTCAATGCAGAACTGGATTCAGCCAACTGAGTTCTCTCTTGCTGGGGAGAGGGGGAGAAGCTTTGTGTATTCTGGACTCTATCCTGTGCCCACTTTGAGCCCAACTGTGCTCCCAATTACATCACCAGCAGCTCAACTGGGTCTGAATCCCCTCCTTGCATTGTGAGACATAAACCTACTTGCCTGACTAATGCAGCAGTGTCTGCTGTTTCTGTTTGCTGAGTCAGTGGCAGAGACAGAGTGAGATCTCTGCCTCTTCTCTCCCCACTTTCTCTCCTGCCCACTCCTTCCTCTTTGGTTCTTGAAATACCGCTATGGCAAATTGCAGGCCCTAGGAATGCCGGGAAATGCAGGTTTTGTGACATCCCTGTGCTAGCATTTCAAGTATGAAGGTGAAAGGAAATGAAAGGGAGTAAGACTTTCCTTGCTGCCATCACTGCAGCCACAGCCAGATATATAGGTAGGAAGAGAAGTTCTTTTTCAGCTTGGATTGTAACCTGAGCCGCCAAAGAACTATGGGGCTGGGGTGGTTGGTTCAGTTCAGTATATTCTAGTGTGCTTTACAAGCATGGCAGATTTGCCTTCCAAACTGGATCATTGCAAAGTTCATTGGCATCAATGTTTTCCATGTGAAACTTGGTGCTACACATGAAATAATCAGCAGGGAGATCCACTTTGCATAATAGGAATGGGTGTCAGTTAAGTAACCTGCCCTCTGCCCCTCAAACTACTATCTGTCGAAATTGAGCACTTATCAGAATGTGGTCCTCCAGGCTTTGTATATGCAAAGGCTTGGTTGCAGAATTTGTTTTCAATATTAGAGGTCAACTCTGACATGTGTGCAGTGCAATATTAATTACATTTGCACTAGCGGCAGCTGCTGAAGAAGGCCTGCTTCCTGGCTCTTGCTACAACCTTTTGCAAACAGGGTTATGCCTAATCTGCAAAGATATATTACAACATGAAATAGAGCATGCCTGTCTGCGATTTAATGCAAATACCCTTTGCTGGGATAGTTCAGTTGGTAGAGCAGGCTTGAATTACCTTTTAGAAAGAAAATACAGTATGTTGAGTTAGAATCATTTAATATAATTTCCCTAAGTAATAAACCACCATATGCCAAGACTAAACAACAACAACCCAGCAACCTAAAAAAATAAAAATAATTAAACCTATCTTCCAGTAAGTAGGATGCTCTTAATGCTTCCATAGACAGACATGCTAAATTAAATAGGGTGTAGTCCTCTGTCATTAATGCTCTTATTCTATTATATATAATTATTAGATGTGATCTAATAGTAACAGTTTTCTTAATATGGAGATTTGCAATGAGATGTAGTTACAGGGCCAGGTGGAAGAGCATATGGACTGTGAATAAACAACTTTGATACTGGTATAACAAGAGAGTATATCTCCCACATTCACTGCTATAATTGTTTTTAGTTCACACAGCTAAATGTTAAACTGTAGCTCATGGATAAGGTTTTTTTTTTATACATATGAGTGAGTCTTGTTGCTTAAAAAAAGGAAAGAGATAATTTTCTGTTACTGATGTGCCAAAAACCTGTATGCCTGTTTCTAAAAAAAAAGCTTTCTTCCCCTCTGAAAGAGGATTCTGTTTTTCTACTTCACTTTTGGAGTGCTTTAGAATTTCAGCAGCTGTGTTATCATTGCCAGGTTGATCTGGGTGCTTTTCTTTCCATTAAATATTTCTCCAGTTCTCAGCAGCCTCCCCAGTGGCTTGCACTTCCAGGTCTGGAAAAGTCCCTTGGGCATCATCCCTGGATTTTAATTAAAGTGTGGGAAGCTGGAGAGGCTGTGGAGATCAGTGTGCTTGTTGGTGTTGTTTTTAAGGGAAGTTCTTCCTTTTACCTTAAAAAATATATATCCACACTGATTTCTCTACAATTAAAAAAGACATAAATGTTGTGAGTCTAAAATGCGCCTCTGAGATTCTTAAAAAAGGGGTGGGATAGAAATGCAATAAAAATAGTTTGGTGCACTAATAATAATAGTAATAGTAATAATAATAATAATAATAATAATAAAACCTCCAGGTTCTTTATAGATGTTGCTATTGGCAAATATATTCCAGGTGTCTTGGGCAGAACAACAGTATGAAAAGAAGAGAAGTAAGCGTTCGGTATTGCGGGACTCAGCAGAAAATCTTTTCAATGACCCCATGTGGAATCAACAATGGTATCTGGTAAGAGCTTGCATTTATATGTAGACTCTACATGTCTTAAGAAAAGTCAAAAGTCATCTATGAACTGCGGTGCAACCATTTTAGGCTGCAAGCCTAAACACCCTTCGTAGGGAGCAAGTGCCATTGCACTGAACCAAGTGGGACTTACTTTTGAGTAACGATCCATAGGATTGCACTGTATGAGACATGCAAGGTATTCAACTCTTGACAAGCAATTTTCTACTCCTTCTACTCTCAGCTTCCAAATTATAAGCATAGTGCACAAGAACTTTTGCAAAATGTTTTCACTTTTTGAGATGGATTTTTCTTTTCTCTAAAAAGTCTCTTATTGCTTATGTCACTGGCCACTGACTACCAACTATTCCCCCCCCCACACACACACATTCAGGTTCTGAAAATGGAAAATTCAACAGCTATCAAAGAACAGACTGGTGGTTTGGAATAATCTCTCGACTGCAATTGTTAGAATAAAATGCATTGAAGTTGCAATCAGAAGCTAACTAAGCGAGAAGGAAGGCACTTCCACTCACACATTGAGGGGCGCAATTTCTGCCAACGCTTCCCTCCATCAGCAGCCCATTGTGCCATACCCCACACTCTGTGCTACTGTGACACAGAGAATGGGAAATCCCATCCCACAAGTGAACATGATTCCGACCCAACAGACTTTACTTATGAGGAAAGAAGATCAGGCTACCAGGCTACAATTTACAGCGTGCTTACTGGGAGCCAAATCCCATTAAGTATGATATGACTTGTTTTTGCTTAAGATTGGGAAGTACATTGCAAGAATTATTGGGCATAATCCAAAGTTAAGCCCTGCTGATCTGACTGGAGAACAGGAAAGCACATCCTTTGCAAGCAGAAATTCACAGGTTCAATCCCCACCTTCTCCAGGAATATATATAAATGTATTATCCTTTATTTTTCCTAGCAAGACACAAGAATGACTCCGTCTCTGCCAAAATTGGATCTCCATGTTATTCCTGTGTGGCAAAAAGGGATTACTGGGAAAGGTGTTGTCGTTACAGTGCTTGATGATGGCTTGGAGTGGAACCACACCGACATTTATATTAACTATGTGAGTTTTATACTTCAGCAATCAGTCAGTTATTATTTACCAATGGAGTGGCTAGACTCTTGGGGCTTGGATGTGGAAAATGAGTTTTATCTCTCTGCTCAGCAATGAGGCTCACTGGGTGACCTTCAAGTCACTCTCTGTCTACCTGAACTGCCTCACGTAGATACGTATTGTGAGGATAAAAATGAAATCCTTCAGTAAAGGCTAGGAGATTACAAAGATGACAAATAAAGTTAAACAAATTAATACTGAACAATAGTTCAGTGTCTCTCGTGAGCTTGTGTGTGTGTGTGTGTGTGTGTGTAAATATAAAAAAAAACTGTTAGAAAAAACTAACAGGAGTAGTCACTAAAATATAATATCAGTGCTATTTTTCTAGAAAAAGAGGTGCTGGGACTCACGATGAACACCTCCCTTGTTCTCTTAGAATGGCAGTGGCATCTAACTGACAGGTGCCATAACTGAGTTCCGGCAAGTTCCAGCTGAAGAAAAGCCCTGTATATTATCATGCTACTGCAATTGCAAAATAAATAAATAAATAAATAAATGGGGGTGTTTTCAAAACGTTAGAATTAATTTAATTCCGCTGCCTCAGCAATTTTAGAAGTGTTCTGTATCCATCCTCTTCCTTTGTTTCATTTTTCAACTTAGGATCCTGAGGCAAGTTATGATTTCAATGACAATGATCACGATCCATTTCCTAGATATGACCCAACAAATGAAAACAAGTGAGTAACGACTTGCTGTTTCTCTCTTTAATATATGCTGATAATCTCTGTAAAACAAATCTTGATAGCTGACCCTTGGTGAACTTTGGCCACTTTCATAATATGTACGGTGCTATTTAAATGAACTAGCGCAGCGGTGGGAAACCATTTTTCTGCTGAGGACTGCATGATGGCTGTCAGCAGGGATTGAGCCAAAAGTGAGTGTGAGCAGATCCAAAAGTGGTTGGCTGCACCCCTTGTTCTCCCTTTTTCTCCATATGAACCAACCCAGAACCTGCAATCATCATCCAAGGCCCTTCTTCATATGCTTCCTCCGTGAGAGGTCTGGAAGGTGGCAACACGAGAATGGGCCTTTTCTGTGATGGCTCCCCACTTGTGGAATGCTCTCCCAGGAAGGTTCACCTGGTACCTTCATTACATATCTTTAGGTGCCAGGCATTTGCCCCAGGCCTTTGGCTAATTAAACAATCTATAGCCTTTAAACTCTCGGGGGGGGGGGGAGTTATAGTTTTTGTTTGTTACTGGACTACAATACCCATAATCCCTGGCTATTGGCCCTGCTATCTGGGGCTGATGAGAAATGTAGTCTAACATCATCCAGTCGCAGGCCACAGGTTCCCCACTCTGTTCTAGCCAATCAAATATGGTTTTTCGGCAGGCTGGACCTTGAATGATGGTTTGAGAGGTCCAGGGCAAGGAGAATTGGCTCATTTCAAACATGGAGTCCATCTCAAGTAGTTGTTCCAAGCCAATTAGAAGGCCAGTTTGTAGTGGCACAATAAGGAACTTACACGATGGTTCACCAGCCTCTATCAGGCAAAAATGATATTTCATTTACTACATGGATGCTCTTATAACAGAAATAATATCACCGGAGTAGAAGGTTTTCAACGGATTAATGTTTCAAGCCTTTTGAAAATCCATCACTCGGCTTCTCTGCAGCAGTTATAGGCAATGGGAGACCATTATCCTCCAATTCAAATGGCATTATCTCTAAAATCTACCATTTCTGCATAACATCAGCTCTTTATTAATATGTAAATGGAATTCAGACTGGCAGCGTTCATCAGCTCAACTGCATACAAAGCTGTACTACTAAATAAGGCAGCTTTTCATCTACGGAAGGTGAGCAATCATATAGAACACATCATAGAAAACATGTTACCATTTACCCTGGGACTGGCAACAAGGACAAGCCATACATATAAATTCTGTTTTCTTCCTCCTAGATACCTTGGTATCTTGTGTACTGGAAACAAGGCAGGCTTTGCTTTATAGTATTTCCATTTTTCCACTTGAGAAATTAGGTTTGCCCTTGGAATTAATTCATTAAAATTGACTTATCATTCAAATGAATGGCAATGGCCGTATACTGCAATCTGATACCTGTGGGCTCCATTTGAATCTGATACATTCAAATGAATAATCATTCATAATAATAGTTGTAAATGATCGGTGTGGACTTGTGGGTTTTGTTGCAGACATGGAACACGGTGTGCAGGAGAGATCGCCATGCAAGCCAACAACCTGAAATGTGGAGTAGGAGTTGCATACAATTCCAAAGTTGGGGGTAAGAATCCAACATAGCAATTCAATTTTAATAGAGTTTTCCACCCCTGATGTGCTCGAGGTCTGAGCAAAGGAATAGTAAATGGAGCAACATGTATTGGCAAGAATGTATTATTAGAAGAAGTCTTCCATTTCTGTTATATGCAATGGTCATGCAGAAGGGCTGGAAAGTATTGCTACAAAAGTTGCATGCTATAGAAGACTTGGAACGCGGGTGGCGCTGTGGGTTAAACCACAGAGCCTAGGACTTGCTGATCAGAAGGTCGGCGGTTCGAATCCCCGCGACGTGGTTAGCTCCCGTTGCTCGGTCCCTGCTCCTGCCAACCTAGCAGTTCGAAAGCACGACAAAGTGCAAGTAGATAAATAGGTACCGCTCCAGGCGGGAAGGTAAACGGCGTTTCCGTGCACTGCTCTGGTTCACCAGAAGCAGCTTAGTCATGCTGGCCACATGACCCAGAAGTTGTACGCCGGCTCCCACGGCCAGTAAAGCGAGATGAGCGCCGCAACCCCAGAGTCGGTCACGGCTGGATCTAATGGTCAGGGGTCCCTTTACCTTTACCTATAGAAGACTTATAACCTCTCCCCAGGGTCATTGCTTTATTTTATTTTAACAGAAAATAATATATTCACTTAACCCTCATGTTTTTTCTGCCTGTGCACCTGTGCAGGAATTAGGCTGCTAATATGGGCTTCTTCCTATCTCCTTTTAAAATGGGCTAGAATTCAGTTGTGGGGCTATACAATGCACTTTCACAAATGTGGAAGAGGCCATGTAAATGCTTCTCTGCATCGGCTCGTATACCAAAGAGGAAAGGTCACAGTTAGGACTCCCAGTACCAGGCACAACTTGAAAGAAAAAGATCTCATTCCCCCCTCTAATGGAAAATAATAGGTTTTCTAATGGAAAATGCTTGTCTAATGATTCTGAAAGTGGCTTACTAATGGGAAAATTGGTGGAAATACTATTTTTTTTAAAAAAAAACCTGTTGTGGATGTTTTAAAGATACAAAAAAATAAATAAATAAATAGTACAGTGGTACCTCAGGTTACATACGCTTCAGGTTACAGACTCCGCTAACCCAGAAATAGTACCTCGGGTTAAAAACTTTGCTTCAGGATGAGAACAGAAATCGTGCTCCGGCGGTGCGGCGGCAGCGGGAGGCCCCATTAGCTAAAGTGGTGCTTCAGGTTAAGAACAGTTTCAGGTTAAGAATGGACCTCCAGAACGAATTAAGTACTTAACCCGAGGTACCACTGTAGTCAGTCTAGTAATGTTAAATAAATATAAAAATGCAAAAAAAAAAAAAATCTAGGTATGTTTTCCAAAACTCCTAAGTGTCATCTGTTCATGTCTGAGTGAAAGAGTAATATGGAAATAAATAGGAGCTTGTTTATGTTTTGCTTTTTAAATCTGAGAATGACAGGCATGTAGTTCAAATGCCTTGTCAAAAGTAATGTAGCCTGCAAAGTGAAAGATTTTTTTTTTTCTACACAGCTTTTCTCACAGTGTCATCAATCAAATTTCCCAATTACCTTGGTGGTGTCCCGGTCATCTGCTTGTCTTATACTCAAATTGTATGCTAATATTGTACAGCCCCCACCCACCCGAATTTTAGAAATCTCGATTAACAGAGGATTCTGAAGCAGTACTAAAGGGGGCAGAAACATTGCTCTTTTTACACATATATGTAAAAAATGAAAATGGGACAGCTGTAAGTGGAGCAGACAACTGTGCTGGCTGCTGTCACATTTGAATTCCTCTGAGTTAACAGCCTTCTCCTCGCCTGGCTTGCAAGCTATCAATCATGCTACATTCCAATCTGACTTCGTCAACCTGCTTCACACCTTTCTAACATCCTAAATGAAGCAACTGCCTCTCAAGACAGAACTGGCCCAGTCATCAGAATGTGAGGCTGCTGATGAAAATGGTAGGAATCGGGTGCCCCTATTTTCAATGAAGAAATGTTGGAGAGTATGGAATTGAATCTCCTGCGTCAAATAAAGTCCTGGATCAGTCTTCCGCAACCTGGTGCCCCTGGAAGTTTTGGACCACAACTCCCATTAGCCCATGTCAATTGTATTTTAGTTTGTTTTTTCCCCAAATTTTTTTATTCATTTTATAACACAACTAAACAACACAAACAGAAAAACAGACAATACAAACAAATTCTTGCCTTATCCTTAATTTTTCTAAACATTGTTAGGTGAGCTTCCCCAAGTCCCCCCTATCTGATTATCATTTTACCTCATATTTAGCAGTTTACATATATCATAATTTTTAACCATTTTTTAAATCTCACTTACTTTTACCATAAAAATCTTCACATTTTATCACTTACAAATAATTCTATTTTAAAATACACTATCTTCTACTTCTAACCCTGCAGCCTATATCCACTTCCAAAACTATTATAGGATTTAAATATTAACATATTTTTTCAAATATTCTTTAAACTTCTTCCAATCTTCTCCCACCGTCTCTTCTCTCTGGTCTCGGAGTCTCCCAGTCAGTTCGGCAAGTTCCATATAGTCCATCATCTTCATCTGCCATTCTTTGATACTTGGTAAATTTTGTTTCTTCCAATTCTTCACTGTCAATTGTATTTTAAAGCCCTGGCAGCTTATATTGGATAATAATATATTTCTATTTTATAGCGACAAGAAATGTTTCATAATACTAACGTTGAGAAAGCATGAAATAACCACTAGTTTGTCTCTGTCTCTGTCCGTCTCTCTGCTTTCTCACATTAAGGCATAAGAATGCTGGACGGAATAGTCACAGACGCCATAGAAGCAAGTTCAATCGGTTTCAGCCCAGATCATGTGGATATTTATAGTGCCAGCTGGGGCCCAAATGATGATGGGAAAACTGTTGAGGGACCTGGCCGGCTGGCACAGAAGGCTTTTGAATATGGCATCAAAAAGGTGAGGCCTCTTAATCGAGAAAATCACAGTATTTTTAAGCAGTTCATACATGCCAGGGTATAGGGCCTGGGAACTTGTTTCGTTCCAAGGAGCAGTATTTATGTGACTTGTTCCCTCATTCTGCTGTTTTAGAACAATTGGAACTATTCTAGAGAAAAGTTGAACAAGAGTGGCTGAATGCTTTTACATATCCTCCAACTTTCCTCAGATGAAAATAGGGACATTTCTCACCCTCCCTGCCCCCAAATAATCCACCTCAACTCCCTATTTTTTTGTCCACCCAGCCCCCCAGCATTTCCTATCTGAAAAAGGGTGAGTGTCACCACTGCTAAACCAATGGGACACGACACACATGCCCTCCACCATCTTAAGAAAACCTCTTAATCCCGATTCTATTTTATCATTTTCTTTCGTAGATTTACAAAAAGAAAAACACACACCAATAAATAAATTTTAGAGAGGCACAAGATTAGACACACACAGTATTTTTTTTAAAAAAAAAATAAATCAAGACTCCTTGCACTTTGCTCCGCTTCTTCTTTCTTTCTGACCAGGGCAGCCCTGCCCTCTGCCTGCCCCTCAGAGCCATGGCGGCATGTGGGGCTGGACCTTAGTGGTAGCAGCCTCATCCTGGCTTGCTCTCCAGCAGCTGCTATGAGCTGTCCAAGGGAGGAGGCCAGCGGCAGTGGCCCTGGAGAGGCCGTAGAGAGGCAACAGGATGCTCCCTCAGAGCCGCCGCTGCAGCCGCCACAGCCTCCGCCACTGCTGCCACTCAGGACAAACACCAGCTCATCTTCCTCCCCAAGCGGTGGCAGCAGTGGTGAGGAAAATAGGGACATTCCAGGATCAAATCAGAAGCCAGGATGTCCCTGGAAAATCAGGGCACTTGGGGGATATGCTTTTAGAATCTAGGGCTCAGCTCAAGATCTAGATAGCAGCAGCCCACGTTGTCTTTCAGCTCGTTTCCTTGACTGCCTGTTTTGCTTCCAATACTAATGGGGGTCTTGTGTGTGCAAAGAGCTGCTATAAAATATTGATGGAAACTTTCTGCTTCATGAATATTGCATTTGTCTCTCTTTAACATGCCCAGATTTTATGCATTATTTTGCAAGCCCATGGAGTAACTCAATCCAATTATAATTAAGATGGTGAGAATGCATGATGAGGGGGGAGAAATTCTGTCATGCTAGCTCTTTAGTCTAGCTAAAGATCATGCAGGCCTTTATTGGCATCTTTTTATTCATGCCTACCTATGAAATACACGTGTACCACGTGTAGCGCTGGGAGATCAGCGGGCCCAGGGCATGCTTGGTTGCAGTGTGTTTTGTTTGTTTGTGTGTGTGCGTTGGGGAGGGGGTGTTGCTGAGTCAAATTAACAATATCAATTTGTATGCTGTTGGATAGGATTGGTCATTAGCTTGTTGGCCTGTATATGTAATAAAGGAAAATGCTGTAGATTCTGTAGGTAACGATGCTGTTTGCCTGATCCAGGAAGGAAGACCTGTTTGCATTGTACCAAAGGTGCTGAGTTCCGCATGACATGGGGGGGGGTCATTGTGTGCACGTGATGTCACATATGCAACACACACACGTGACACCATGCTCATTGGGAGGAGGCCACAAAGCCCAATGAGGCCCTTTGCCACCCAGGGTAGGTCCAGGGGGCCCCTCCACCATTGTGGGGAGGCCTGGCAAGGTCCTCTGCTGTTGCAGGGAGGCCTGGCAGGGCCTGGCCCCTCAAGATTGGGAGGCCTCAGCCCCATAGATTTGACACCTATGCATTATACCCACATAATGGTGCCCATCCCCAGTTGAACAAATAGGATGCATCTCTTGATGTCAATGGGAATACTCAGCCACGTCCTAGTAGCACTTGCAATAAATCAGCTGTCTGGGATTAGAACTGAACAGTGCTATTTTTCTAGAAAAAGAGGTGCTGGAACTCACCATGAAAGCCTCCCTTGTTCTCTTATAATGGCAATGGGGCCCACCTGAGAGGTGCCAGAACTGAGTTCCAGCGACTTCCAGCTGAAAAACAAAAAGGCCTGAGTTTGAATAAGGGCCTGTGCATAAATCCATTGGAAGTTAATTGTATTTGCTTTTAATATATTGCTCCATTTTTGTAGTTTGCCTGTTGGCCCACATAGATCGCACAACAGGGAGCTCCATTTTAGCTGGCAGTAACAACTTGTATAGACATAGTTATGAAAGTGATCCATCAACAAATGTACAGAAAGCAACTTGGCTGTAAGGCAGTTTAGAAGTCCAGCAGCCTTTCTAGTGCTTCACTTATATTTTTCATAGTTCTCACCTCAAGAAGGTTATCTTTAGTACTGGGAAATGTTCCAAAACAGGCAACCAAAGTGACCAAGAAGTTGGAGCTACTCCCTTTTGAATTGGTGGGGTTTTTTTGTTTTTGCTTAGAAGGTGAAAAAGTGGATAAGGAGAAGTTTTCCTCCCTGCCTTATCCTTCTTAAGTAATTGTGCCATGTCAGCCCTGGACTACTGCATGGCCTCTGTTGTGGCCTATATGAGGGTGAGTAAACTGATTCTGAATCCTGGCAAGATGGAGGCATTGTGAGTGGGTGGCTCCTGAGTCAGGATAACTGATCAATGGCCTGCTTTGGGCGGGGTTAAATTCCCCCTGAACGAGCAGGTACATAGTCTAGGGGTGCTCTTGGATTCATCTTTGTAGCTGGAGACCCAACACAATGTTGCATTTTATTTGTCACATGTTTGCTTGTTGCTCTGACTCAGGCATGGGGAGCCTTTTTCAGCCTGAGGGCCCCATTTCTTCATGGACAACCTTCTGGGGCCCCCATTCAAGTGGTGGATGGGTCCAAAGGCAACAGTGGGTGATGGAACAGATTGTGAGCTTTTAGTTATATCTAAGTTATATGTAGAGTAAACCCATTGAAATTAGTGGACATAAGTTAGCCACATCCATTTATCCCACCCATGGAAAATCAAAGGTTTCTGACTTTTGACAGATACGTTTGACACAGACACTTTTTCATCCAGGCAAGCAAAGAGGCATTGTCACAGTCCAATGACAAATTCTTGCCAAGCAAAGGCAGTCGGGAAGAGCATGGAGCAGGACTGGGGAGGGATGTGTTTGGGGGAGAATCCTATGGGTCAGAGAAAGAGTCCTGGAGGGCCAAATTTGCCCCTGGACCTGAAGTTGCCCACCCCCACTCCAGTTAATCAAATGCATTCCTTACAAACATTGCCAGCAATAATTTCTTTCTTACTACTCTTTGTCCTCTTTGGAAATTCACCCAAGCAGATTAATAGTGGACCACACTGTTCTTTATAGTGAGTGTAAGTTCATTAATTCATTTTTTAAAAAAAAGACTCAACATAAACTATCTGCTGAAAAGTCACCAGTAAGCTACTACAAGATCTAGCCAATATATTTTTTCATGCTGCTCTAGCTCTGAGTGTTTGCATTTTTATAGCTGGGGCGATTGGTCCCTGACTTTAACTAATGGAGAGTCATGGATTTTGAAACAACAGGAAGGCACAGATTATATATTTTGCTATTCCACTGCCATGAAAGTACACGCCAAACATAGAACACTTGAAATGCCAATGCGCTTATGTGAATCATACACTAGTCACATGGGTAATAAATCAGCAATATTATACGTGAAATTCATGGAAATGAAATGAATTCTTAGCATCTATTTAAGTGTTGTTTTAAAAATATATACCTGGAATCGGTGGTGTTCCCTCAGAGCAATTATTTCTGTTGGTTACGTTTTGTTTTTCTGTGTATATTGAGTGTATATTGTTCAGTTGAGCAAATCACGAGAAATTCAGATGCAATTGCTACCACCACTCCTATTGTAAAAAGTGGTGTTAGATACTGCTAAAGCTTTAGAAGTTGTTGTTCTACATATCTAAGGATAATTCTGAATGTTTCTTTTTTTAAAAAAAGAAATGTTCATATACTCAGTATTGTCTTATCGGAACGGCTGCGACTCTCCAGAGTCTCAAGCAGAGAGCTTCCTCATCACCTTCTATTTGATCTTTTTAACTAGAGATTTCAGGAACAGAAACTGGAGCCTTCTATGTGCAAACCACATTCTTTAGTATGGAGCCTCAGCCATTCATCAGCCACACAGCCATGCTATTCAACCAAGCACCCCTCATACCTCTCCATCACTAAAAACCACTTTGTCCCCCAATGTGAAGTTTTCACCGCATATTCCTCCTGTCTCATTCCCCTTAGCCTTAAGGGGTCAAGCCTTTGAAAACCCCTGTATCCCCAATCTACCGCACCGCACTAGACCACATGTGAGGGTTTCCCTAATCAAGTTATCCTTTCATTTACAAGAGAGAAACTGCATTCATTTTCAACCTTCCACGACTGACCCTTCCCACTTCAGAATGTTCTTATAGCTACTCAGTGAATGTTCATCTACTTAGTATTGTCTACTCTGTATGGCTGCAACTCTCCAGAGACCTTATAGCCATGCAGTGAATGAAGTGCTGTACTCTTGCACCAATTGCAAATTGTTATATATTGTTCTATTGTATTATTCCAAAAAAAGGGGATAACCTTTTCTCAATCAATTTATATAGCTCACTTATTGCTGATGTGTTCAGTTCAGCCTACGAAATGGCTGCAACAATGATTTTTTGCGGGAATGTACAGCGTTGGGGCTTCTACCCTTGTGATAACCATGCTGTTCCTTTCATTTCCTATAGGGGCGAAAGGGGAAAGGTTCTATTTTCGTCTGGGCTTCTGGGAATGGCGGCCGCCAAGGAGACAACTGTGACTGCGATGGCTACACAGATAGCATCTACACGATCTCCATCAGCAGTGCTTCTCAGCAAGGCCATTCTCCCTGGTATGCAGAGAAGTGCTCTTCAACAATGGCCACAGCATACAGCAGTGGGGATTATACTGACCAGAAAATTGTAGGTTGTTTTTACCAGATTTAACAAGCTTTCATTTTTGAGGGGAGGGGAGGAAATCGCCTGATCCATGTTTTATGTTCTAATATGCCAAGTCCTTCTGTAGTGGGATGTAAGATATTGCATTTCCCTAATGATAAGACAAAACAACCTTTCACTTAAGAGCAAAAAGTGATCCATAGTTTTGTCTTCATGGTGTTGATTGCTGAAAGAAAGAATGTCACTTATGGGTGAGAGGAGGCTCTCTCAAATCTGTCACCCTGAAGGACCAAACTGCCTCTGTATCACTAATAATAATAATAATAATAATAATAATAATAATAATTTATTATTTATACCCCGCCCATCTGGCTGAGTTTCCCCAGCCACTCTGGGCGGCTCCCAATCAAGTGTTAAAAGCAATACAGCACTAAATATTAAAAACTTCCCTAAACAGGGCTGCCTTCAGATGTCTTTTAAGGATAGGATAGCTGCTTATTTCCTTCACACCTGAAGGGAGGGTGTTCCACAGGGTGGGTGCCACTACCGAGAAGGCCCTCTGCCTGGTTACCTGTAACCTCACTTCTCGCAATGAGGGAACTGCCAGAAGGCCCTCAGCGCTGGATCAGCGCTGGCTGAACAATGGGGGTGGAGACGCTCCTTCAGGTATACAGGACCAAGGCCGTTTAGGGCTTTAAAGGTCAGCATCAACACTTTGAATTGTGCTTCTTGGACAGGGAATTGGATTGAATTTGCTTTCAGTGTTTGGGGAGAAAATTTGTGGGTTTCCTGTTCCTTTCATGGCAGGGAACATCTCTGCTCATAGACCAACTGATAGATTTAATCTTGCAGCGAACAGATCACCCTTCTTGTCATGTTTCTAAAACAGGAGGTAGTATGCAAACTGACTACAACCCTATCAGAAAACCACATGGAAGTAGCAATCATATTGCTCCTATAGCATGGAAGGGGGGGTGACCCCTGGTCTGATGGGGGTTAAAATAACTGAAGTGTGATTGGTCAGAAATACTTCCAGTTTGGGGTTGACTTATAAAGCGTCCCGTAAGTGCAAATAGGAATATGCCCTGTCATTAGTTCTTCACTTTCACACATTGTACCTTTCCTTGCTGACATGTTAGGTACTTTATCTAAGTGGGAAACTTCATTTTCTGCTTCTGTTGGAGGGGAAGAACAGCATTCAGTCTCAAACTCTGTGATTTTAAAGCCAGAAAGCTCTTTAAAAATTCCTAAGCCCAACATAGCAATGTGCTTTATGATTCATTTGTAAACATGGAAAGCTAACTTGTATGCTCCTTGAGATCTCAGAATAAGGCAAGTTGCTTGACTTGGACATATTGTCCTTCAGTGCAAAAAATGTTTGGATACAAAAACTAGAATTAAAATGCATGCAGCAAAAAAGAGTCTTCCAATCTCATCCACATTATTTTATTAGAAAGAGTCAAATGTGCCCTCAGGTTGGACACATTACAAAAATGGGAACTAGATCCAGGCTCAACAATCACTCATGATTATTGGGTTTGTTCTAAGCATAACTCATTCTGGATCCCACCCATAGACAAGAGTGTTTTAGTGCATGGAGACAGTAAACTCAAATTCTGTAATTTATAATGTTTATCTCCTTCAGATAAGTGCTGACCTTCATAATGAATGCACTTCCACACACACTGGGACATCTGCTTCTGCTCCTTTAGCTGCAGGGATCTTTGCTCTGGCACTGGAGGCCAAGTAAGTCTTCTTAAACTCCCTTTTAGTACCCATCTCTTTCTTTCTTGTTATCATCACTGTGAAAATTATGGCAAAAACCCTCCAGCAGTTCAGGTCTTTAAAGTTAGCTGGATTGTTTTTAATCGGCTCCCACTGTTCCTCACACTGTTTAACATATAGGCTCGTTTCCAGACTTAATCATGTTTAGAATAGATCAATGGGACATACAGGTAGTCTGCAATCCTAACCCCACTTACCTGTGAGTAAACCCCACTGAATTAAACAGGAATTTACTTCTGAGTAGACATGGTTAGAACTGTTCTGTAACTTACATCCCCCTGGTTCCAAGCATGACTAAATATGGATCCAACCCACGGTAAATATAAAAGCCACTGGCATTGACAATTATTGATTTAGATACTAGGAATTAGACGCCCTGCAAGTTTCAAGGTGGTGATCTTTCTCAGAGGCTGAATGAAAGCAGGGTGGGAGAGAAAGGACAAAGCTTTCATCCATAAATCATTATGATCTTCCTTGTTCAACCCCAAAATTGCCTTCATAAATGTTTACAGTGAAGGCTGCAGATATATATAATGGGGAATAGTATTGTGACACAATAGTGAATCGACTTAACAAATGTTATATAATGAAGTAGCATTGATCTTCTAACCTACTATTCCAGCCAACACAACGTAATCTTTTTCTCTATAAAAGTCCCTGCAAAAACATGGCTGGGGAACCTAGTAGGGATCTGCTGACTGATGGAACTATGTGAAGAACAGTGGACAGCATGAAAGCCCCAGGATATTTTGCTAAGAATGCCAAAATTCATGAGCATAGCCCCACCCACTGGAAAGAATGTACTAAGTGTGTGGAAGAAAATTCCAGTGGATTGTGGCCAAATACCATTGGGTGAGATATTTAGAAATTGACTAGAATTTTGTTTGTGATAGTCCTAATCTAACCTGGAGAGATATGCAACATTTGGTAGTCTGGACATCTGAATTCGATCCGTTGGCCAACAATCCGGGTTGGAAGAAGAATGGAGCCGGACTGATGGTGAACAGCAGATTTGGATTTGGATTGCTCAATGCCAAAGCACTGGTAGATTTGGCTGACCCTAAAACCTGGAAAGAAGTACCCGAAAAGAAAGAGTGCATTGTTAAGGACAGCAGCTTTGAACCAAGGTAAAAATTCCATTGTTAGTTAATAGCCTATGTCTACCGGAAATATTTTATCCCATTAAAGACACTTGAAAAGCCTAGAAGGTGAGTCATTGTTGCTTACCAGGAGAAAGGTAGCAGGGTGGTCAGGGTGGTGCAAACACAACTGCAGGTGCTTCCAGTTGGCTCTGTCAGTGCATTTGCATTGTGATTACCTCCCTGCCACCTCATCCTGCTCCCTCCCTGTAAGAAGCAATTATCCACCTGCTGGGAAGCTAGCATAGAGGGTCTGGTCCAGTCAGCAACTCACTTAAGTTTTTAAAAAAGCAGTGTTCCTGGTCTACTGCTTCCCTTTCATGTGCATTAGAACAAGAGGAAGGCGAAGAATTGGAAAGGAACCACTATTCATTGGTAACAGAGCATCTGGCTTTGCATGTAAATGGTTCCAGGTTCAATCCAGTCAAAAGTCTTTCAGGGCAATGGATTGGCCCTGGATTGCTGCTGCCAGAGAAGACAAAAATGATATCTGCTCTGTGCCGCCACCACCACCCCAATACCAGGCTGCTTTGAAAACTTCCCCATGGTTCTCACAGGTGTATGTAGCATTGTAATCTTGGGCATTGTGGGAAATTTAGCCCATAGCTGCGTGGTACAGAGCAAGCATCAAAGACCAGTGGATCCTTGAACCTGGCTTAGGTTGTCAGTTCAAGTGCTGATGCTGGACCTGTGAAATACTAAGGGTGCCCCATACAGTGGGATGAAAAAACCATTATACACGTTCCTGCTCGTTCACCCAGAATTTATTTCAAAGGAGCTTTACAGGAACAATAAATGAAGCAAAATGTCCATATCTTACCATGAGACTATTAATATCACAAGTGGTGTAAAAAGGCAACAGAACCTCACTGAATAAATGAAGAGAATAAATTGACATTGGGGGGAAAATAACTTGATAATTTCCTTGTAACATTGCCAGGTTATTAAGATCTAGTGGTGAAGTTACCATTGAAATTCCCACAACAGCTTGTGAAGGTCAAGAAAATGCCATTAAATCCCTGGAACATGTACAATTTGAAGCAACGATTGAATATTCCCGCAGAGGTGATCTTCATGTGACCCTGACTTCTCCATCAGGTACAGGAGACAAACTACCTAGTTCTGCTATGTCTAGTAATTGTACCCTAGACAAAACCAGTTTCTCTTTTCTTTTTGCTGTTTTGTAATGTTTTGGGAGCTGTCAGGATTAAGCATCCCTTTGGGAAGTGGGATGCTAGTATCAGCACACCAAAAAACCCTGAAATGTCAAACTAAAAACGTGTATCAATGAGGGCGCTTTTGGATGGGAAAGCATTGTTTGCCAGTAGCAAGCACAACTGCATGTCAACATGCATATCTTCTAACAAACCTACCAGAACTGAGCAGGGATTTGATCCAGAGATTTTCATGGGTTTGGGGAGGGGTGAGCCAGCCACCACAATGCTCCTGGCACATGTTTCAAGGGGAAAACCCAAAATAATGGAAAAAGAAATGAAAGCACAAAGGAAATTAAAAAGGAAACGAAATATCTTCCCCAATCTATATACTGTGTACCTGCCTCGAGCTATCACTTCCTGGAAAATTCATTTACTCCATGGTTTTCTTGGAGATGGCCGTGATTCATGTTCCCTCTAGCAAATTAGGCAAGGGAAAAACAATGGCTAAAGGCAGAGGTGTTGTACCTGGGCTCTTGGTAGCATCACCTTGCTGAAAGTAGGTATACGTGGAACACTTTTTCAGTGATTTAAGGGGATTAACAAAAGGGGTGAAGAAAAAGTGGAGGAAGCCAATGGAGGCAACCACCTCCTTTTTAAAACCCAGAGTACCCTGGGAATGAGGCTGCACATCATAGTCTAGCACCATCCCCATTGGGGCTTTCTCAAAGAGTAGAACCTACCGAGATGTTGCTTCTTGTTGCAGAAAGTCTCTGAAAAGGTCCGTCACCACTTTCACTAAGATGCGGGGATACTTCCTTGGCTCCACCTTAGTTAGATTGTGTGAGTAAATCCCTGCTAAGGCCAATAATGTAAAGTAGAGAGGTCCAGCAGTGTTAAAATTGAAATATAACTCTCCCTTATTGAGGGCATGTGGAGTTTAATCTATCTGCAACCAGCCATTGTTGTCTTAGCAACAGAACTCATCTGCAACAGAGCTCTCCTATTTTATATCTTCCATTTTATAGCTTCTAGGCATTTTTTTAAAAATCTTATTATTTCTTATGACCAATCCTCAGGGCCCCTTCAAGCTCTCATTAAAATTAGAAGTGAGCTTTCTGGTGCTTCATCCATAAAGAAAATAATAGTGTGAGAGATCACAAAACCTGTCAATTTGCAAAATAGGGACGCCACCTCCCTTATCTACTCCTTTAGGTAGTAATCTCCAAGTTGCTTGCTCCAGAGCATGTCAATTGTCATCAGCCAGGACTACTCTAAAACAAATGTGTTGCAGAAAGCAAATTGAGAGAAGAGAAAATATGAAGGGTCGTAGCTCAATGATAGAGCACATGGTTTGTATGCAGAAGACCCCCCTTTCAATTCCTAGCATCCCTAAGGAGGACTGGAGGAAACCTGTTTCTGAACCTGCTGTCAATCAATTTAGAGCTGCTACCCACCAGTATACTAAGCTAGATGGACCATTGGTATGACTTAGTATAAGGCATGTTATTATGTTCATTGAAATCAATGACAAAGGCACTGATCATAGCCCACGTACATAGCCCACTAATACTATATTCTTAATCTTATTCCCCAATCATAAAATCTGAACCAGTTACTGAAAAAACCAAGCCAAATCCAAGACTTTCAGGCCTTTAAGGGTCATTTCCCCTGCTCATGGCAGTTTCTTTTTTCCTTTTGCCTGTACAGTATATCGACACATTAATGGACATGTTGTTAGTTCCATTCAACATATGCAAAACCTACAATCTTGCACAACAACTGTATATTGAAGGAGAAGCAGAGCCATGCTACTATCCCCATCCTTGAGTTTGTGCGTCTATCTGGCCCTACTCTTAGGCATGGACATCTAAGCAATGGAATTTGGTGTATGTTGACTCTCCATGCATAGGATTTCACAGGAGCTGGAACCCTGGGTGATCAAGACAACAGCTTCTGTCGAAACCTCTTTGCATACTGTTTAGACCTGGCTTCCACTGCTGAGATGTCCGTGTCCAATGTGTGGGTTTTGGTAGTGGAGCAGGAGAAGACTTCCAATGTCAGGGATGGTGCTGGTAGTGTGGCCCAAGTATCTCTTTCAACACATGCAGGGAGCTAATGTTTAACTCGTTTTGATGAGTTTTGCAATGATGTGGAAAGGTGCAGATAATGGCAGGGATCCATGGAAGTCCTTGGGCAAACATTTGTTTCTAAACAATCACTGGAGAATCCCTATTTATGTCTTCTGGCCCAAGGATCTCTGCATAACAAGCTGAGGTCCCTCCTCACATCCCACTTTATGAGCAGCTTGGCAAGCAGTGCAGGGGGCTGCTCAGTCAGAAGTTGTGGATTTTGTAAGTGACTGATCTCAATGCCTAATTTCTAAACTTCCAGGAAAGTACACAATGTATTCAGTCATTGATTTTATTTGTTCAATGTGCTGAATCATTTTGGCAGTGCATTATGATCTACAGGAACTCGGTATTCCCAAATCCATATATTACTATAGCTCTTGAGAGACAACAAGCTATTCCTTTATTCCTCAGTGAACCTAAGTGGTACAGACTGTGAAACTCAAGGTCGTTCTGTGTCTCCAGAGCTGACACTGTATTTATCACTGTCTGCTAAGCCTCATCAGTTTTCCTCGTGTGACCTTATCCTGGGATTCTTATTCCTTTCCTCTAATACAGGGACCACCACAGTCTTACTAGCCGAACGGCAAAGAGATAAGTCACCCAATGGCTTTAAAGACTGGGATTTTATGTCGGTTCACACTTGGGGAGAGAATCCAACAGGCACATGGACTTTAAAAGTTGTTGATACGGTAAGCAGGGGAAGCTACTGAAGCAGTCAAATGCATGAGTGAAATGATACGAGGGGTGTAAGCCCCTTCCTGCCAGAAGCGAGGAAATATAATCAGCGCCGCAAATACCTATCACTTTAGTTTGGTTGGAAATTATCGTCCAGGAGTTCAGCTGAGATAAGAAGACATCACTGTTTCTAATAAAAGAACAATGCTTTATTTTTGCACATTGTGACAGAAGCAATGATTCATGAGATTGCTTTAAAGAGCAGGCATGTATTTATTTTGAAGAAATTGGGGTACTGAGAAATAAATGCAACAGGACAATGTATGGATTTCAAAGAGTAACACAAACAGTGTGTAGAATGGTTAAAATGTTTATTTTAACCTACACACCATTTGTGTTGCACTTGGAGTCACTGCCACCACCAGTTTATTCTCCTCTGTCTCCCACCTGTACAATGTAAAAGACTAATTATTCTGCTATGACCCCTCAGTCTAGACGATTGCAAAATGAAGGAAGAATTGTGAACTGGAAGCTGATTTTGCATGGCACTTCAACTCGACCTGAGCACATGAAGAAACCTCGCATCTACACATCATACAATACTGTCCAAAATGACAGGAGAGGTGCGGAAAAGATGACGGATTTTGTAGAGGTATCAATCTATACTCATCATACCCATCCTTAAAGCATCCTTGTAGCATTAGAATCAAACAGGAGGAAATTTCCCCTTTTAAAATGTTTTTGTCTTTCTGGAATTTCTCCATTATTGGGTCTATGTATATCTAATTAATGTACAGAATTGGCAGGCAAAAATATGTGGCAATGGCTATTATGTAGCTTAGATGGCTTTAAAAGGGACTAGATAAATTCATGAAGGATGCAACAGCGACCGTTAGTCATGATAGCTTAATGCAACGTTTGCCAACCTGATGACCTTTAGATGCCCCTGGTGGTTCCTCTTTTGAATGGAAGTGAAGCTCAGCTTCCAACCATGGTGGCCATCTGCCAAAATGCAGTGCCCCAGCAATATATAGATATGAAATATATAGATTCCATAGATCCATAGAATGGGTTCTGTACATTTTATAGAAGCATAGACCTTGCATTTTGAGTACATTTAGATGACAGGTGGTCACCATTAATGGAAGCATTGCTGGGTCAGAGCAATGAGGGACCCTTTTCAGGCTCTTAGACAATGCCTGACCTGGCTGATCACTGGCACCAGACCTGAACACAAATGAACTTTGATAGCTCACATCACACTGCATGGAACATTCTGTTTTATAGCCCCTTTGCACATAATAGCTGTGAGGAAAGCTTGAGTGTGCTGGCCCCCAGCCCATGAACAGCTGGTTGTATGAGTTCAACCGCCACAGGCAACATTGAACTTTTGACTTGGGGTTTCCAATCTGCTCAGCGTTTGCTTTAAACATGTGGAGTTCTTTTTCCTTTTGCTAATATTCAATGGCTCTTGACATTTGGCACACTCATACATATATATATATATTTCAGGATCACACCACACTGGAGAACCTGAGTGGAAAAAGGAAGGTGACAGAAAGTACCACTGGCAAAGATAAATTACAGGAAGTGGCCTCATCAGATGCAATGCTCCGGCTACTGCAAAATGCCTTTCGTGACCAGATGGGTGGGAATCAAGTACCAAAAAAGGTGCTAAGTGAAAACTCAAATATTCCCTATGAACATTACTATCAAGCTCTTGAGAAACTAAACCAAGCCTCTCAGCTGAAAGACTCAGAGGAGTCTCTGTATAGTGACTATGTTGACCTTTTTTACACTGCCAAACCATACAAGCATCGGGATGACAGACTACTCCAAGCCTTGGTTGACATTCTGAAAGAAAAAGATTAAGATATACATATATAGAATAAGGCACTAGGTTGGAAACATTCACAGCCACCCCATATTCTTAAGACTCCTAATTCCAGACTGGCTCCCACTTATTCAATCTGCATCATCATCATCACTTTTATGGCTTTCTGCATGGCAACACTCTTCTTTAGGAGAAAGAGATTGGGCTGCTTGTTAGATGTGAGGAAATCACACCTTTATGAAAAGCATTCAGTAATCCTGAGAACAGGCAGCTTCCTTCAGGAATGAGACAAATTCACCAACTTGAGAAAACGCTAGAGATTGAATGCAGGAGGCCTTGTCCAAAAAATTACGTTACCAATCGCAGTTAGGGATACTGTTTCAAGCAGAAAAGCCAGCGATTATCTAACGTCTCCTTAATTTAAGTGAGTTCTTCAACCCATAGAAAAGATTTCCTTTCAGAAGGAATAAGGCAGTATTGTCACAAAATCCAGCCAACTCCTTTCAACCCCAAATACTGAAGGTTGTCTGTGGACCCAACCCCCCCACCCTGCCCTAGTTTGGATTCACATGTAAAAACGCTCCTTCAAAAAATTTCTTCCGTACAGCCAATCAGTTTCTACCACTGTGGTTCAAGAACAGCAGTGAGGCATCTCTGGTCCACATGCCTAAATATGCCTGCCAGACCATTTGGAACAAGCCACACCCACATGCCTCTATAGGTAAAAAATGTAGCTGGGCCCAAGCACTGACAATCAGCAGACTATCTACTTTGTATGAAGAACCTCTTAGCCCTGATCCACTTATTAGGAGAATCCTATACGACACCTATACCATGCTTGGATCTACATGGATTATATAGATCCTGGGAAATGTAAATAGGATACTACCAGCACCAGTTTTCTTTAATAAGGCACAGGAAGAAATGCAGATGTGAATAGCACCATGCCAAAACCTGGCCATCAGGATCAAATGAGTCCAGTTAGGCCCATTTGCTGGTGTTAAAACTCTATAGCCCTATTAGGCTCTGAATGTGCTAATTTTACCCCCCCCCCCAAAAAAAAGAAATATCAAAACTAAGTCCATACATTTCAAGAGACAGGCTTCCTGGGGGAAAGCCATAATATAACCAGAGAGTACTAAATATAAATAGCAAATGCTGAATCTAACCAGATCTGGCATTATTGTGGTGATTTTCTTGCTGTATGACACATTTGTCAACATCTAGCAGAGAGGCTATTTTGTCAGAAATGAAAAACCGGGGAAGAGAGGCACAAGGGCTTTTAAGAACAAATGGAAACTGAATGCAGAAGAAACATTTCAATGAAAGATACCTAGACTGGCTTGGCTGCTTTATTAGGTGAGGCAGTGTCTGCAGGGGCGCACCTTCACCTGAACCCTGGTCAAGGCTGAAAGAGGTAAGAAAGAAAGAAAGAAAGAAAAAGAAAAAGAGGACATCAAGGAAATAACTAGTGAAACAAAATGTGGGCACAGAGGCCGCAAGAGCAGTGAAAAGGAAATCAAGAGGACAGGAGAGAAAATGTGGGAAAGGGCTGTGGCAGAAAGCATCACTCGCACAGCATCTAGCTACAGGTATGGTGACTGCCAGGGGAAATGCTAAATCATCAGGTAAGGTTCAAAAGAAAGTATAAATTGCAGGGTGTTAAGCGGAATGGTACCTTTTCCCCATGTGCACATTTTTTGTGTGTAGAATAAGGCCATAATCTATTATGTTGAAGATGCATCCCAAAGGAGAAAATACACTGTTGAATCAACAGTTTAGAAAATGTAAACGAGCACATTAAGATGAAACTAATGTAAGGTGAATAGCTAGGTGAATAAATAGTGATGATCAACATCTCCCCACTCTACCCCTCTCTTTCTTCTGTACAATATAGTCACGGGGAAGGGCCATAGCTCACTGGCAGACCATCTTCCTTGCACGGAGAAGGTCCCAACTTCAAGCCACAGCACCTCCAGATAGGACTGGGCAAAAGTCCTGCCTGGAATTCTGGAGAGTTGTTGTCAGTCACTGCAGACCAAGCTAACAGGACCAGTGGTCAGGGATGATGGGAATTGTAGTCCCAGACATCTGGAGGACCGGAGTTTGCCTATGCCTGCTGTAGACAATACTGACCAATGAACTGGCTCAGTGAGCTCAGGTGGACCAAGGAGCTGACTCAATATGAGGCAGCTACCTGTGTAATACTAATTTCAAATCACACTGTAGTGCCAACCAGCTGTGCATGATGACGTTGGTTCGCACCCATTGAACTTCAAAGCATGCACAAATGCAGACTTGATTACAGCAAGTATTAATCTTCCCCCCCCCCTCCTTGGTGCTAATCACATTAGTTGTCACCATGAGGCATGCCCACTTGCCTTTTGAGAACATCCCTCTAGTAGCAATGAGGCTCTGCATGAGGTGAAAAATTGGCTGCTAGGGGCTTCACCCTTCATTAATTTAGTTCCTTCTCAACCTTCCTCTTCTCCTTCTATTTGCCCCTCAACATATGCCATGAACTTTACACTGAAAACTAGTGGTAGATTTGATGCGAGTTTTCTATAAAGTTCCCTAGCTCAAATAACATTTAGATCAAGGTTTCCCAGACTTGGGTCTCCAGCTTCTTTTGGACTACAATCCCCATCAACCCTAGCTAGCAGAACCAGTGGTCATGGATGATGGGAACTGTAGTCCAAAAGCAACTGGAGACCCAGCTTTGGGAAACCCTGGTAGGGAACAGAAAGTTCAATGATATAATAACCTAATAGAAAGTAAAAGTTGGAGTAAAGGTGGGATAATTAATGGGAAATTGGAAAACCAATGCTAACTTCCTCCCTCTGCTAAGTTATCAGAACCTGGGAGCCACATTGTACATAATGCAGTGCTTCTAGCCCTCATTAGCATCTAGCTTAGATTGTGATAATTACTGGCTGCTTCTTTAGGGAGCAGCAGAACAAGTAATTATTCATTATGTGAAAATTACCACTGCACACCTTAATTAACATCAGTGATGGCCAATACATGATTGTAACCCTTTCTGAATACCTGGTTTTGTTTAGCTTTGTTCATTTAAGATCAGTAACCCATATTGTAACTAAAATTACATGAGACCTATACTTAAAGACCTCTGATACAAATTCTGTTGCTTGAATGCTTCCAACCTAGAATGCATTATATAGACGTTAAATTATTTTTGTTAGTCTTTTCTTGGTGCCAGTCTGTGTTTTGTGAAAAAGTAAAATGAAAGATAAAGAATGTCTTATCTCAAGGGGGAATTATATTTTCTTTACAGCTATTTATAACATATTAAAGCTTTTATCAGACACAATTTGAAAACAATAAATTATTACAAACTTTAAAAATAATAAATGACAGCAAACCATTTTTTTTTATTTGAGCAAAACAACTTCGTCCAATAAAGTATTTTTGATGGCTTGTTGGGTTGACAACAGCCATATGTATATGATGTGATGTGATGTTAAAATTTACATTTGTTTAATCATAGCATAATACAACGTAATGTGATAGCAGAGCCCAGAGTGTGTGGTCTTAACATTTGTAAAGAAGCACAACACAGAGACGTCACGTGAAATACATTTGCTTGCAAATACGAGGCAGTGCCATGAAGGGTTGAATCTGAAGAAAAGCACAGAAGGACTGCCTCAAAGTGTCATGGCGCTCTCAGAGCAGGACTTTGGGGGCAGAGGTATAGGGCCCCACACAGCAGAATGAGCAAGAAGTCCCTTCAATGTAAGCAGTGACATTTTGAAGCAAGTGAAGTCATGCAAATTGCCTTCTAAAGGAGGGGTGCTGAACCTCTGGCCTTACAGGTGTTGCTAGACTACAACTTCCATAATCTCAATATCCGGAGGGTCACAGGTTAGTCATGCAGGATAGGGGAGCGGGTGGCACTGTGGTCTAAAGACTCTAAACCACTGAGCCTCTTGGGCTTGCTGATCAGAAGGTCGGAGGTTTGAATCCCCGTGACGGGGTGAGCTCCCGTTGCTCTGTCCCAGTTCCTGCTAACCTAGCAGTTTGAAAGCACACCAGTGCAAGTAGATAAATAGGTGACGGGAAGGTAAATGGCATTTCCATGTGCTCTGGTTTCCGTCACAGTGTTCCGTTGCACCAGATGTGGTTTAGTGACTTTGGTCATGCTGGCCACTTGATCCAGAAAGCTGTCTGTGGACAAACACCTGCTCCCTTGGCCTGAAAGCAAGATCAGCGCCACACCCCATAGTTGCCTTTGACTGGACTTAACCATTCAGGGGTCCTTTACCTTTACCTTTTTACCTATGCAATATGAAGACATCTAAGACTATTAGATCCCGGGGTGTTGAAACCATTGAGTCTTGAGTCTAAAATCACCTAACAGCACTACTGCTAAACAGAAAGCTGTCGTAATGAATTTGACAGTGGTGGCTATTCCAGTGCAACAGCCCCAGCTTAAGCAGTTGGGACAAGATGACATTCAGAGACAACATGGGATACCAGCATTATGCAAGAACTACTGTGATGGCAGTCAGGTGTACTAGACAACCTAAACACACATTTGCCGATGCAAATTGTCTCCAGCTGTTTGCCGATGCAAATTGTCTCCAGCTGTTTTTGGACTACAATTCCCACCACCCCTTACCACCAGTCCTGCTAGCTAGGGATGATGGGAGTTGTAGTCAATGCAAAGCCCTGCCACACCACCAGGCTGGGGGTGGGGGGAAATCTACACACACACACACAGACACACACACACACCAGCAGCAGCAGCAAAGCTGCATGGTGGAACACTTCCCCTCTCACTGACTCAGCGAGAGGGGAGGTGTTCCACAGAGATTGCCAACAGTCACTGGACTCGGCTGTAGAGCTGCAAATATGACGTTTTAAGGGCATTTTAAGTGCATTATACAAATCTGACACTAGATGGTGCTGCTGAACCAATGGCAAATTCCATATATTTTTTTAAATGTTTTTTAAAAAAGCATTTTCAAAGCGTTTTTTGATGTATGTGTAGATTCAGCCATTCTCTGCCCCTAGAGGG